CCGAGTCTTCGCGCCTCACATATGGCCCTAAAGTACGTTCCCGGAGGAGTTCCATTCTTCCAATTACTCCTTCCGTCATTCTCGTTCTTCAGTAAGAAGCGCGTGCTTCCGCCGACCAATTCCCTCGCCCATGCCTCAATCGACTCACACAAGTCGGCGAAATGTTGTCTCTTGTGCTCAAGCTTAGGTTCAGCCCAAGCTCGTGCGTTGTCCAAAAGCTTTTCATTCTCCTGAAGACCGTGAGGGACTTTGATTTCCACTGTCATGCTCTTGCACCGTCCGCGAAGCTGTTTGAACCGATCACGTACATCGGGGTTCCGCACAGGGACCTTATTGTGCCACTTTGGTACCTCGCTTGGATTCATGCGAGGTCCTTCCGGGTCATTAGAAAATACCTCACAGCGTATGTCCAATTCCGGGGGGTTCCATAACGCAAGACACTTTAGAAACGTATCGTTATATCCGGGATGCCAGGAACTTGGTGATGGAAAGGAATTTCCGACCACTTCGAGTGGCTCGTTGAGTCTTACGTGACGTATATTTTGGTTGAATACCAGGGGGTTCCTCCGGGTGGGCGAAAGTTTCCATTGGGCGTATGGCGGAAGGCCGATGTGCTCAAAGCACTGCGTTCGGTGGAAGACTTCGAGTGCTTCAGACAGAATCATCTTGCTAGATAGCATCCACGTCGGAAGACCGTCTTCCTGATCACAGTACACGCGACCCGGCGCGTAGATTGGGAGCATTATGATCTTCGTCTCGCCGAAACTCAATATACGCATCATGTCGGCACCCAGGGCATACTCGTAGATCTGGTCGCGTAATTCGCGCGGTAGACGAGCGAGCGGAGAGGGGTTGCCAGAATACTGCTTGGTACATGCCGTAGCCGGTAGACTCTGGAGCGGGTCGGATATGCCGTTGTAGGACTTGTCATTGCGGAGAAGCATGGAAAAAGTATCGAAAATAGGAAAAGATGAGGTATGGATAGTTATGATCTCCAGCAGATTCTCAAACTCACTTCTGCGAGTCTATCCAGCAACAGAGATCCGTGTCTGTCTATCTGATTTATACCGTCACAGTTATCAGGGCGGGTCAGGTGCTTCCACCGTTGTCTCAGCAGCGATGCCAAGCTTTGACGCAGGAGACTTCATTTTGCGATAGCACCGAGCAACGCGTAGCGAAAGGGCAATGATCGACAAAGGATCATGACCGACAGGAGACCGTGCGTCCGCATTTGGTGCTTCCGAGACCACATGTAATGCGAGAATGTTCGATGATGGGGGTGCGTTCTGGAGAGGCCATGGCTCTCGGAAGGGCCCACCCCACACAGCACCTCGATGGCACGGGCGGGGAATGTACACACTCACACGCCGTTCTCTATCCGACTCATCACTGGCAGATTCATATGTGATACCAGCTTATCGCATCTTCGTTTGATCAAGTGAGAGACGTGTATGCTATGCAACTTTTACGACTCTACACGAGTCATCGTGAAAACTGATGTACGTTGGTTGCGTTCATCGCTGCTCAGATAGTCCGGGGGTATGCTGTATTAGACAATGTCGCAGTTTCGGCTAAGAGTTGATTGAGTCGCACTCTATTTATTCTGAGGATCTCAGAACCTGCTACTTCACGACTGTGCATTGATAGTACCGGGCGCCCCTAAGGTTGGTGTTACCCTGAACCAAAGTTGGATCATCACGTGACCCGCTGATGCCTGATGTCCCGAACGCACTTAAACCATCGTTTCCCATCGGTTCTCATCGTCGCGGTTTTCCATATCCACCGTCATTCTATTGCCATCTTGCCATTACTCGTTAGACATAACGCAATCATACTTCTCACGATGTTAGATCAGCAACAATCCCCTCTCTTCCGCCTACCTCGCGAGCTGCGCGACAACATATACGAACACTATTCGCATGACGAGAAGGGCCTTTTCTACGACTATGCCTCAAACAAGATGCGGTATGAGAGCCAGAACAAACATCAGGACAAGAACGCGCTGACACGCTGTTGCAAGCAAGCAGCCGAGGAGATGAAGGGTGTGGCCAAGCGAGCTAACACTCTAACTTTCCTTCCTGCACGCTCGCACCGAGACGGCGTCGAATTCAACAATCTTGACTCCAAAGCCGGCCGCTTCGAACGCCTGCTACAGCTGTCACGGCGTATGAAGATGCACATACTACATCACGTCGCTCAAGACGGGTGCGTCACCCCGACCATTGTAGATCGGGTTGCTGCGCAGTTTCCCGGCATATCTCGTTACTATCGCGCCGTATACAGCGCTATCAAGCATGGGCGAGACTTGTACGCGCAGAACTCGGTTTCGCGTTCGGACCATACCTGGCGATGGCAGACGTCGGCGACTTTGTGCGACGCCATACAATACACCCTCGATCTAGCCTCCTCCCATCCTGCATTCGAGGATGCAGCTGCCAGGGCATCTTCCAGTCCCTACATGTGCCATGGCATGATGCCGCCCTTCCTGCCTGGGTCCCACAACAGTGTCCTTGCATGGAAACCAAACTGGTGGCTGATACCTACAGAGTCTGATCTGACCCTCGAGTCCTATCTAGCGGACCCGTCGCGTCGCGATCTTATCGGCGAGATCGACCCGCGCTCTGAACCAATGGTGCCTGTCGCCTGGTACTTTTCCGCAACGTCCCTTGCTATCAACTTCTTGAAAGCACTACCACCAACCGATCGCATATCTCACCGTACGACAATCATAATCAAAGAAGACAAGAGGGGCGTGGCATACCCAGAGTCGCACGTGCGGGGGCTCACGCCTTTCCTACTGGAAAATCCACATCTTCGTGTCGAACTACAAGTAGGGTTCTGGAACAACCTGATGCATCCAGTATGGTTAGAATCAACGAAGTATCATCGACGGAGCCAAACTGTCATCCCCAAAGAGAATATGTTGCGCCCCTTTGCCGATTTTCTGGACGAACTTGAATCCTTCTCCGCCAACGAAGTCAACTCCAATGCCCTCAAGGTAATGATCGAAGGCCAGAAGACCGAGTCAATTTTGTTATGGGAAGTATTAAAGCACGCTGCCAGTCTGCAAGAGGCCCTGGCAGAATCCGACTACATGAAGCAACACCATGAGATCGATCGCAGACTGGTCCGCTACGAGCCTGATGACGACGAAACTTTACATGACTACGCTATGAGAGACCGCTTCCAGCTGCCATGTGATCTCCCACCTTCTTTCCATGCCATGGTTCGCCGCATCACTCTGGATGAATCCTTCATTCATTTTGATGGAGATACTGGTGCATTGTGGGCTTCCGCAAAAGAGATCTCGGTTAGGAAGGCCTGGTCGCCACAACAGTTTTACGACGAGTGGTATGGCTTCTTCGGATACCAGTGCACAACATTGCCGGCCGGAGGAGTTCCAGCCTTCTTCGCAGCGTACGAGCTTCAGCAGCTACTATGTGGAACTCACCCATGGAAGTGGGTGTCTTCAGATGGGTCGGAAACCTTCGAGTACTCTCCATCTGGATTAACTGGCCAGAATTACATACCCTTCGTCGTATAGACCAATGGATATTGCCTACTACTGCGAAAGCTTAGTAGCCACAGCGATTCTTGTTTGATTGACCACACTCGAGATGAGGAACTGAGCTCTCGCCTGTTGTAAATCCATCCAAAGTTATCTGCAACATACCCATGACGTAGTCACACCGATGTCTAGTCTACTAGAGCTACCTGCACATCCCATCATACAACTTTCTTGTATGCCTTTCCGACCCTCACACCCTTCAGTCAAGTCCCGCACGCGACAAAAGAAAGGTGGAGATAAAAGCCAGGGAACAAGTTCATTTGCGTCTGGACCATCGCTTCTAGAGTATATTTTCATAGCCAATGCTACTGTACCTGCCAACGCTGCACTTATTCCATCATTCCCATTTGCAAGCACCCTTGTACCCATCCGCTTGAGCAGCGGAAAGATAACGGCACACATTGTACGTATCAGTCTCCTTGTAGTAAACCACCGCCAGCGCACCACCATTACCAGCGGGCCACTTACTTCCCTGCGACCACTGCGGGATCGACACCTAGAACGCAAAAACAAGACTAGTCAGAAACCATTTCATCAAGCCAAGCTGTATGATCATGGTACTCACCCATTTATACGTATCATCCGAGTTCGAAGGGCAGAGCTTCCTGTCATCAGGCGCAGTGAAGGAGCGCGATGCTTCGGGAATTTCTTGCGTAGTCGCCCAGGACTTGACGACGATGTCTTGGAGTTGGGTTGCTGTCATGGGGATGTAGGTGCCGTCGTATTGTTGGCAGGCGACGTTGGAGAAGCCGTTGAACTTTGCGGCCATGGTTGAGGCGGCAAAGAACGCGGCGGGGAGGAGGTACTGGAGCTGCATCTTGAGGTGCTTGTGGGTGTTTGGAAGTGAGGTTTGGAGTGGTGATGCGCGACTGTGGAACTGGCGTGGTGGAGAAGGAAACAGAGGATGTGAAGATCTTTATGTATTCATCATTGTACCTGCGTATTGTAGGGCCGAGATATTTAATATTTGCTCATGCGCTGGATTGCTAAGAGATGCGCATACGTCAGATGCACTGTGCTATGCTGCGCAGCGTTGGAAACGCGGTCAATCATTTTACGAGGTAAGTCTAGATGCGAGAAACACCGAATACGCAGATATCGCATCAATCATCGTAAGATTTGGCACATGCGACAGTTCAAACAACCACTCGATTAGCGCACGAGGTAACGACACGGAGAAATTTAATGCGATGATGCGGTGAACTTGGCTGACAGAACGCTTACAGAAGAGCAGATTGTGTGCGTATGTACATGATACCCAGCCGGAGGTCTGGCGTCGGACCGAAAATATAGTGATGTTCATTCATTGTGCTTCATAAACATCCGTAGTACGTCGCAAAGGAGATGTCCAGACCGCTAGAAAGGTGGCTGAGCCGGCTAATCAAGCGTGGCTGGAAAGACAGAAACGCGCCGAATTGAGGCCGGTCGCACACTACGCGATCACACCAATCCTGTCAACATCCGGCGCGTACGCACTTCCAACACCAGAGATGGTGATGGTATTGGTACCCGTGGTGCTGAAACCCGACAACTCGACGCCGTAGTTCTTGTATACATCTTTGTCCCAGTTGTATCCGCTCAGAGGGAAGCTGACGGTCTTTGCCGCGCCTCCGTTCACGCTAACCGATGCGACACGCTCGTTGCTGCCGCCCATGTAGTCGACCTGGCCGTTAATGTAGTCAAAGTACACTGTTTGTGTCGCTTTGGAGGTGCGGATGTTGGAGAGCGTTACGCGACCGTTCGACGAACCGCCCAGGTTGCCGACTTTGTTGGACGAGGTGCAGCCGGAGCAGGACTGGGTGGATGCGCCCGAGGAGAGGGAGCCTGTCGATGCAGAGACGTACTTGTAAGTAGGTTTAGCAGCTGTCGAGCGGCGAATGTTCGAGAGGCGGATGGCGAGAGATCCGTGCGCTTTGACTTGCTTGGAGAGGGAAGCCTCGCTGACAGTCTTACCCGTCCAGAGATCTTTGATCGATGCCGATGCGATGTCGAGTTCGGATAGCTGCAGGCTCAGCGTACGCGCAGTGTTGCTGAGGTCTACGACCAAGACGGCCATGTCTCCATTGGCGAGGTCGCCAGCCCAAAGGTCGCGGTCCCCGCTCCAACGCTGACGGAGAGTGACCGGCTTGACAGCGGAGTCTTGGTTGATCGCAATCAGGTCTTTGTTTTGCAGAACAGCGACGAGTTCGTTCGACAGAGCCGCTACGTCGGTCGAGACCATGAGCGCGGACTTCAGCATAGCCCACGCGGCGAAGTGCGTAGCTTGCTCGTCGAATGACATACCAGAGTTGCCGACCATGAGCAGATCAGCATCGGCGATGTGTCCTGGAGCGACTAGACCAGACTTGGCGATATGCACAGCTTGGTTGTAGATGCGGAACATGGACGCCCAACCTGATGTAATGTCGTCCGATAGTCGGAAGGATGTCGAGATGGGCTTCGTCCATTGAGCGGGTCCCTGGAGACCTGTAGAGGTCGTGAAAGGAACACCCCATTGGCAGATTAACATTCCTGGGATACCGACTCGTTGTAGCTCCTTCCACATAACACCGAATCGGGTGACGAAATCGGTTCTGGCGTTCTTGGGAGCGTTCTGGCTAGCTGCAGGCCCGTCGGCGTAGCAGTTGTCATCTGGAAGGCTGTCAGCTTGATGATCACAGTGCGCGACCACGTTCCTTCGGACATACACTTGACGTATTCAGTGTTCAGCGTCTTGAAGAAATCCGCGTCGGCAGCTTCATGACCTAATGAGCCCAAGACAGGGCTCGGCGCCTCTGGGTCGCACATTCTCACACCGGCATCCGAGTACATTGTCCATTTCATGCCCTTTGACCTTGCAAGGTCGCTCAAAGGCTTCAACCCACCCGGAAAGGCTTTCAGATCCACCTTCAGTGCACCGCTAGTAGCGTTCCGTTGTCCATCTCTTGAAGCCCATCCGCAATCGATCTGGAAGAACTTGTAGCCAGCATCGACGAAACCGCGACTCGCAAGCGAGTTAATGGTGGTGGTGATCTTCTGGGTGTTTGGGCTACATGACATCTGGTTGTAGGAGTTCCAACCCATAACAGGCGTCTGCTGGAACGACTGCGACGCGACATGGGTCGCTCCAGCGAAGGTCAAAAGAACAGAGTTGGTTAAGATCATGGTGTGTATGTCCTGGTCGATGTGCTGCCTACCCGTCTATACGAACATCCCGTCTCTTTATACTTTCGCATTTTGAGTTCATCATCAACACGAAGAAGCCGCGAGCGACCTTTTACCGGTGGAAGGAATGAGTTCGTGCGTATACATCTCGTATGCCGGAAGTACTCCTCGAAGTGGAAGACCTTGCGCTCGACATGTTTGGATATGATGCGCAGATCAGGGGACTATGATGCGCGACTTCAAGTTTAGTCTATTTCTTCCGTGGAATATATTGGAGGAGAGGAGTACTGCGGGGAGTTTCCGAGGCTACCTCCCTCATTCGGCACTCGCGTGGTTGAATGCCCGGGAAGAGCCTGGGCATGATATACCGGCTGTATTGCCAGCTTTGTTTCAGAGGCTCGTACAAGAATGTTAAGGTTTTTGTAGCTTTCGTGTTGTGGCGTTGAACCTCAGCATCGATTTTCCCCACACTCGGCGCACCTTCCTCGCTACCCCGCGCTCGCTTCACCTTCCGTGCTCATCAGCCGACGTATCTTTCCGCCTTCCCTGAATAAGTATTCCGCGATGCATCATGTCCCTACTTGCAACCTCAACATCGCTGCATTCGCCTTACCACCCTTGCGCTTTGATCACTCATTGTCTCCTTGCTCGGCTAAAACGCCGCCATCGCCAATCACAGAGCTCAAGCGTGGACTGAGTGGGCCTTCGGCCTATGGGGTATGGGGTAGGTGATCAGAGTCTGGGGAAGCTCAGTGGATCTGGAGACGACCAGAGGCTTGTGAGGCTTGACAAGCTTCGCATAACGAGGATAATGATAAGCGGAGAAAATCCCGAGCCAGGGCTCATGCCCGGTATAAAGAGCTGATCGACGCTACGACCCCGTTGCAGATGACAAAGTTTGGTACAGGCCCAGTGCATTGGACCGGCTATTGACATCTCTTGATTTGGGGTACCTCCTTCCACGACATCTCCTACTCCGCATCCACGATCACAAACTTCGTGACATCCGTAGCTGGACAGGGAGTACGCGACCATGGCACGCAAATATCTTGGAGGCTCTGGTGAGCGGCTGACAGTATGGATTTCCATCGCTGCCAGTACGGTGCTCGTGTAAGCTACGATCAAGACATCTTCCAATGCGGTTGTCTGACACTCATTAGCTTCTACGGTTACGATCAAGGTGTCTTCGGCAATGTCATCATCTCAGAAGACTTCCTCCACACCTTTGGCTACCCATCTGCCAACATGCAAGGTGTGATGACGTCCATCTACAACATCGGCTGCTTCATCGGAGCAATGAGTACCATATGGACTGGCGACATTCTCGGACGCCCAAGGCAGATTCTCCTCGGTTCGACAATCATTGGCATCGGCGCAATCATTCAGACATGTAGTTGGACTGTAGCGAGCATGATGGTTGGGCGCATCGTGGCGGGGCTTGGTACTGGCATGAACACAGCAACGGCTGGAGTTTGGCAGGCTGAGACCAGTAAGATGAACAGTCGAGGAAAGCTCGTTATCATCCAGATGGGTACGGCATTTGCAACATACAGTGTGACATTTTGGCTAATTCGTCAACAGCGAACTGCATCACCGGCTTCAGCATCTCGAATTGGCTTACTCTCGGCTTTTCGTTCGCACCGCGCGATATCGCATGGCGTTTCCCGCTCGCGTTTCAGCTCTTCTTCACCCTGTGCATCTACGCCATGTGCCCGTTCCTACCAGACTCTCCTCGGTTGCTGATTCGCAAAGGCAAGATCGACGAAGCTTTAGAAGTTCTTGCTGCGCTGGAGGGCCATGGAGCCACCCCAGAATCACCCTCGGTTATCACGCAGTACAACATCATCAAGGACATCCTCGATCGCGAGCAAATGAATACATATACATGGACGCAGCTTCTTACTGGCAAAGGTCCAAGCGGTGTGCTGCGACGCATGCTTCTGGGCGCATGGATGCAGGCCATGAACCAGATCTCTGGAATCAACGTTACGAGTTACTACATGTCTTATATCTTTATCAACGCCTTGGGAATATCCGAGCTACTATCGCGCATCCTCGCTGCTGCCGGGTCTGTCGACTATCTCATCTTTGCTTGCTTGGCATGCTTTGTCATTGAGCGATACGGGCGTCGCAAGGTCATGATGGTCTCGGCTGCAGCATGCTCCATTTGTTGGATCGTCATCGCAGCATCGCAGGGTCAGACCGAGAAAGGTGGCGATTCATACAAGCTGGGTATCGTCGCTGTTGCGTTCTTCTTCGTATTCTTCGCCAGCTTTGGCATGGGCGTGTTGGGTGTGCCTTGGCTGTACCCGACCGAGATCAACGCGCTTGAGATGAGAACCAAAGGCGCTTCCCTCGCGATGGCGACCAACTGGATCTGCAACTACGGTGTTGTGCAAGCAACCCTTCCTGGTATTCAGAACCTAGGCTACAAGTTCTGGATCATCTGGGCAGTCATCTGCTTCTCCTTCATCCCGATCACGTACTTCCTCTACCCAGAGACGGCGAACCGGACGCTTGAAGATATCGATCGCTTCTTTGAAACGCAACCCGGTATCTTGATCCATCGGAACAAATTTGCCGTGCAGCTACACCGCCCAGCCGAGTTCATCGAAGCTGATGCTAGGATTGCTGCGCATGAAGAAGAGAAGTTTGAGAAGGGGCTCAGTACTGAGCATGTTGAGACGAAAGAGGCAGTTTGATTAGAGGCAGAGATGTCGTGTAAGCGCGTTAAGTGACGTCCATTTGGTATATGACATTGTACCTGTAAACATCTAAACAATGTCATGGTAAACATTGATCCATTGCTCCGGGTGAATTGCCCATTCCATCGCTCAATCCCGAAACTTCGCCGCGACAATACGCGGCCTCATGTCTGTAAAACCGCTTGATCTTTCATCCGCGTGAAAACTTCGCTACAGGCCTTGCACAGCAAAAGGCTTCCAAAGCGTATGCAGCGAGGCTTGTCTGGAAGAAGGCTCTTCCAAGCTTGGGCCACATCCACGCTAACCGAGAACGCGTCTTCAGCTCACGTCTACGACCAGCAAGCAGCCTTCGAGTGACGCGGCGCAACGATTGATACAGCCGGCGCACTATGTTTCTTCTCTCTTTGCATCACTAAACACGTACTGCAATGCCGCGCAAGGCGGAAGTTGCCGTCATTGCACTGCCAGACATCACCGGCCAGACCTCTGACAGGGCACGCATGGACAAGAATCGTTCCACAGATCTGATGACGGTCAACTAAGAGATTCCCAGGGGGACCATTGTGAGTATGGAAGGAGTCTACGGCCACAGATTGGGTTTCCTTACAGCGACTGCGATGGTGGAGTCAAAAGCCCGAGTCAGGACTGGTAGTGAGTATATAATGCTGGAGATACCGCGACAGATATCTCGAACACCACCCCGCTAATACAGCTTCTCTATCTTCTACCTTCGCTTTGTTCCTACGTTCCTCTCGGTTATTCATCCATCATGCGACACTCGTCCTGCGCAACGGCTGCCGCCATGGCAGTGGCCGCCAATGCAGCCTCGTTAGCAGAACTTTGCACAGTATCGAACGTGCAAGCCGCTCTTCCTTCTAACGGCACTCTTCTCGGAATCGAATTGCTACCTGGCACCGTGACTGCCAGTGCGCTCTACAATGCTACCCTTGAAAGCAGCGGCATGGGAGCGTCGACAACTGATAGTGCTACCTACTCCTACTGCAACGTCACTGTCAGCTACACCCATACTGGAAAGGGAGACGTAATTCCCCTCAAATTCGCCTTCCCTGATCCTTCCAGCTTCGCGAATCGCTTCTACCTTGCTGGTGGCGGAGGTTTCTCTCTCCAGAGCGTTGCCACCGGAGGTTTGCCATACGGCGCAGCTTCTGGAGCAACATCAGCAGGCTACGACGCTTTCGACCAGAGCTATGATGAGGCAGTGCTTTATGGCAACGGAACCATCAACTGGGATGCTACCTACGCCTTTGCCTACACCGCGCTCGGGGAATTGACGAAGATTGGCAAGCCGCTCACACAGGCTTTCTATGGTCTGAACAAGACCAAGGTATACACCTATTTCGAGGGCTGCTCTGATGGTGGCCGTGAGGCTATGAGCCAGGTTCAGCGCTGGGGCGAGGAGTACGACGGCGTCGTAGCTGGTGCGCCTGCTTTCCGCTTTGCGCAGCAGCAGGTGCTTCATGTCTACCCTGCCACCATCAACGTTATCAACGACTACTATCCTCCGCCATGCGCTTTGGCTAAGATAGTCAACGCCACTATCGCTGCCTGTGATCCTCTGGATGGACGTACTGATGGTAAGTACAGTCTCTCCTGCCATGTGGTAATGCACTAACATAAGTCTCTCCAGGTGTCATTTCTCGCACCGACCTTTGCAAACTCAACTTCAATCTCAGCTCCTTGATCGGCGAAAGCTACTACTGCGCAGCGAGACCAGCACCTCCCTCGGCTTCGGCTTCAGCAAGCGCGACTTCAACAAGCGCCAGATGCCGGGCGGCCAAACCAGCGCTCAGCCCGAACAGAACGGCACCATCACTGCCGACGACATCGCGGTAGCCCAAGGCGTCTACGACGGTCTACACAACTCCAAGGGCGAGCGCGCTTACCTTTCCTGGCAGATCGGCTCCGAGCTCAGTGATGCCGATCCAACATACAATAACGCGACCGGGAAGTGGGAACTCAGCATCCCTTCCACCGGTGGCGAGTATGTGACCAAGTTCGTTCAACTGCTCGACCTGGACAACCTTACCAACCTCGACAACGTCACCTACGACACCCTCGTAGAATGGATGAACATCGGCATGGTCCGCTACCTCGACAGCCTGCAAACCACTGTACCCGATCTCACTCCGTTCCAATCTTCTGGCGCGAAGATGATCCATTACCACGGCGAATCCGACCCGTCCATTCCCGCTGCATCTTCCGTCCACTACTGGCAGTCTGTCCGCTCGATCATGTACTCCAACATGACCGATGCTGAGGCCCAGGAAGCAATGG